GCTATACAAATAAAATTGAATATGTATGCATATAAAATTCCAAAAACTGGTCAAAGTGGTGCATGCCAGAATGATGCTGCTTTTACTGCAGAGCTTCACTCCAACTGCCCAAGACGGCTAAAAGAAGAGACTTGTCAGTAGATACTGATACTGGTGGGTCAAGTTTCTCTGATGTCTTCCCTCATCTTCCGGGTTATGCTATCCACATCACTTTCCTACGATGATAAAACATGTGTCGTGTCTTCCTTTCAATAATTAGTCACTATATAACTTATAGTTCCAACACGCAGTCAGTGTGGCATTATGCTGATAAACTGTGTGAGAGTGGAACAGAAGAAAGGAGCCAAATAGCAACTTCAGGAGAGAATTAGTTGCTGGTGCAACTGCAGCAGGGGAGCAGAGCTTCAGAGAGCTCTGTGTCCATAGAGGTAACACTCTTTACTCAGCTGACACTCTGGAACAAATACATGTTGATTGTGTACATTCACTAGCCAAGTGTCAGGGGGTATGGGCGATGCACCTGGCAGTTGATGACCAGTAAAAAATGCATAACTGCAATAAAATGAACAATGACATCATCATTATGTATTATGTTTAGAATTATTGTACTTCGGTATAGTTAAAAAAAAAAATTGCATGTACCTTAATCTTAAAATGTGATGCACCACCTGGGGAGCACTCTAAGTGACCCAAATCAAACACACCCACACACGATGTTGCGTGGCCAGCAGGTGCATGCTGGGTCTGACTGAAGCCTAGATTATACTCCTAAACTGAAGCCTACACGGACAGCTGTGGACACCACACACAAAACTACTACACTGTAGTTTTGTGTACTATCTGGAGTCCACCTGGAGGACATGTTCCTCACATGCACTGATGTTTGCTGTAGCGTAGGCTTGAACTTTAAGGAGGGCAGTGGTACAGAGAGGTTGAGAGGTTCATATTATGCACAGAAAATGAACAAGCAGAGAAGTTGAGTTCTGATTAATTCTAGTGAGGCTATAAAAAAAAAAAGGCAATTGTTTATTTGTAATTGATAATCAGTATGCACAGGCTCCAAAGTGCATCTATAGAAATGGAATTGACATTACATAAGGGCTCGTGGCATGATGTTAACATTTAATCTAGTTGATTTTGTGGCCTAAAGGTGTTCTTTGTTTTAAGAGTGGTATCATGTATCATCATATAACATTTTACCCCAACCCCTTTTAAAAAAAAAATTAAAGTACTTTAACTGACCTACTTTTTACTTTTACCTGAGTATACAGTGTTTACTTTTGAGTAAAATGTATTTAAAGTACCGGTAGTTAATTACATATAATATTCTAGTACTCTTTCCATCCCTGAAACCCCTGAAGTACTGCCTTCTCAGCAGCAAAGACAGTTAGATTTTGTATGTTGGTTTATGGTCTTTTTTTGTGTTGATCCCAGGAAGAGTAGCTAATGTTTTAATTTTATTACAATCCCTATTAGCTAATGCTATCAGCTACTCTTCCTGGGGTCCACACAAAACATTAAGAACAAAAAAGAAAAATACAAAAACATATAAGATAAGACACATGCAATTTAATTTATGCTGATTTAATACATGTATTAAAATCAGAAAAATATAATGAACTGTGTTTTTCCTAAAAACATATTACTATACACATTTTCATATATACTTCTATATATTAATTTACACTGAATTCATAAGCACTGACTGTGCATACAAAGTATATACATATTGTTATTCCTCTTCAAAAAGGAAGAAAAAAGTACAAAATTAGGTTACAGGTCTAGGGCTATAAGGTGTTCACTTATTTTTAAAGCTTACTTTATGCTATTGGAACAGGAAGTGAGTTCCACACAACCTTGGCTCAATACAAAAGTTGCTTCCTATGTTTTAGATTTAGGAACTGTGTAGAGATTTTTGGTGACATGTATGCATCAATGTTCTGCATCTTCTAATGGGGATGCTAATAAAATCCCAGAGACTAGCTGGTGAACATAATGGAAGAAGATAAAGAGCCAGATATTTCGCTCAGCTAAAAGAGAAAGAATATTAATTCAATGGACACAAACACACCTCCAAATAAATTATGTGTAAAGCATCTACACACTACACACAAGTTCACCATATCAACTTGAAACGGCACATGTAAATGTGTGTGTTCACAGCTTGTGTGTGCGGTCCCCAAATGGACACTGCAGGTTTAAAGAGGGAACAGCTAATAAAATAACTGGTTAGCAAATGCGCAAGCAGTTACTTGATTGTGTTTATGCTTGCGTTTATGCTTGCTATCATAGCAGTAGTATACCAGGTGAAATGGGAATTATAATGTACAGTTTAATATGAATTCACTAGCAAGCAGACCACCACCTATAGTATACCAAAATATCTTTAGCATTCAATATAATTATGTCATAGGGAATCACTTGGCGTCGTGTTTTTTTATTTTTGTACAGCTCGGAGAAAATTCTATGAGGTTTTATTGACTTTATTTATCTTAGTTACTGTAACGGGTGTGTGAGGACCCAATTGCAGTAACCCAAACCACAGGATCAACGAGTTGGCTGAATGGGTGGGAGTGGCCAGCAGGGAGAGTGCGCAG